TGCTGCTGAACCGCTGTGGCAGTAGCAGATCTGGCTCTGGGAACACCCGCGAAGGCCATTGCCGGGCGTTGGGGAGAGATAAGTGAACCAGTGGTCGAAGCCGGAATAGGAGGAGTAATATTCCTGGGTGATGCAGAGAGGCTGTTAATCGATGTAAGCAGATTGGAGGCAGGAAAACGGGAGTAACTGGCTTCACGGGCTGACTTGGACGGTCATGAGCAGACCAGGGACGCCCGCATAGACACACACTACGCATATTCCAGACAGTCTCATCCTAGGAAGTGTAAGAAGAAAAAGAAGAATGGGAGTGACAGAATACGCACCGAGTGAAAACCACCACAACGCCCGCTCCGTCCGTTGTCCGCACCACCTTTGATAAATCTTCGGTTGGTTGGAGACACACTATTGGGATCTTGCTCGTGAGCGATCCAAATGTGGCCACACGCAGAGCATTCGATTTCTGCATTTACGAAGTCCTCCGGTGGTTGTGAGAAGAGGTGAATAATAATATCAAAGATATAATGATGTACCGTGTACCGGGGAGAACCGTCCGAATTTTCGGAGAGGAAAGCACTGCAATCACAGCCACTGATGGCGCACTTGCATCGGGGACCCACGTGAAGAGACATCCGGCCGGTCGAGTCCTGGGGGAAGTACGGAGGCAGAGGGAGCGTCGAGGAGATATATAAATAAGCTCATTACCTGCGCGTTTCGGACTTCGGAGAACGAGGAAACGAAGTGATTAGATCATTATGAGGCCTCATTATGAAGGCTTATGATCACTCAATCGAGAAGGAGGATGAGAAATTCAGTGCGGTACAATTTTTGGGAATTTCATTATGATGCGCCATAATGAGGGTCATTGAACTTCATAATGAAAGCTGTGTTGATTACGGAATCTATAGCCGAAGCCGATAAGCGGCGATGAATGGTTGTGAGAGTCATAATGAACCACTGTGAACCACCAGGATCTGCTATGAACCGCTAGGATGTATGATGATAGCCCATGACAGCCTATGATACCCAATGACATTTCAACCCAATTTATTTTTGTCCAATGGCGGCCTTCATAGGAAGTAAGACTCTAAGAGAGAGACGACTGTGGGCCTGGAATCAGTCATTATGACAACGATCTTGATTCCGGTACTAGATGGACAGCCGACAGCTTCCGAAGTAATTCCGAAGCGCCTTGCGTGTAGGGCTTCCACCCGTTGCCGCGACGGCAACGGCCGTCGATTCGACGGCCGTTTTTTGTATTTCCAAATCTCTGACGGGACGGCACGGTCGACGGGACGGCCGTCGACGGTACCACGGCTTATGACGGGTAGGTCATTCAGAAATTTGAATTTTGGGGTTGATTTTAGAGGTATAATTGACATACATATAGTCAACACAGAATCATGTCCCACCCGCACTGGAATGATGGGGAAGAACTTCAGAACAACTATGTACAAACTAGGTATATATGGCGGCGCTGTAGTATGTAGGCATGATGAGACCAGGCGCTTAGCCGGGCGCTAAATTCGAATTCCAAGTGATAGGCAAAAAAAATGGGGATAATTTACCGAGGCGGATGACCTGTGATGACGCGGTTGGTCGGGTGGGGTCGGGTGAGAGTTTTCAGGGCGGCTTCAGGCGAACTTTAAGCAGGTTAGCCGTGGACCCGTCGCGACACCCGGGACGGCCGTTTTTCGACGGCCGTCGGCGAGCGCAAAAACATCGCTGACGGAACGGGCACGGCACCCGTTCGACGGGTGCCGTCGACCCGTGGCGACGGCAACGTGCGGAAGCCCTACTTGCGTGTATGCACATCTGGAAAATGATCGATGTCTAGGGACGTCTAGGGGAGACACGAGAGACACTTTAGACCTGCCTTCGGTCTGTGAGAGACACCGATAGATAGCCCGTTTCTATTACTTTCTAAGGGAGCCCGCTTAGACAACTTAGCCGACCACACCATTCAATCAACTCGCGACTATTTCGCAAGCGAGGGTAGGATCTTGACAGGATCAAATCCTGATTTTGCGTTGGTATCCAATGGGATGGTGGCAGGGGAAAATAAAATGCATTGGGACGATACATAGGTAGCTAGTGTACGTATACGTAGGTAGGTATGTACTGCAGCTGGAACGAGAGTGGTCCACCTGGGTATTAATTAAAAAAATCAGAGAGCCATTAGATGTACTGACCCTTTGTAATGGACCGATGAATGGGCGTAGCGGACAGGCAACGATATCGATGCTGGACAACACCAGTCAGAGGGGTAGAACCGAGATGGGATGGGACATACTGACCATTGCACATCGCTGTTTGTCCGGCCCAGTGCGCGGTGAGGTTGATTGAGAAGAAGGGACGGCGGGAGGAAAGCGTGGGAGGGAAGAGGAAGGATGTGGGAGGAAGACAGAAGAGATCACAGACTGACACGTACTGACACCATTCTTATAGATTCCCCACCTCGCTAATCGATCTGCGTGCTCGGCTTTGCTCGGTAACGAGATTCTGAAAAATTTGCACAAGTCCGCTATAGTCCGCTCTGCATTTTGGGCAACTCGAGAGCGCAACAATGGCACAGTGGGACAGAGCGACAGCCGGAAGGAGACCCATTGGTTGGGATCAGCTTCTAAATTTGATGGCTGGTGAACAATGCGCGGACGATCTCTATGTACGCCGTCTCACTTTATATTGAGTTTCCAGTGCGGTGATTCTCGAGAGCTCAAATTTTGTTCAATAGTCTCTTCAAGGAAGCCAAGACAGACCTCATTACATAAGTAGCTCAACTTCGTCGAAAAGTCGGAAAAGATACGTACGTTTCCTGTTAATATTCCAGCCACGAATGGGGCGCTCGCTATATTCTGTCCAGATTCTCGATGGTGAAGAGGCGGTACTTCGTCATGGCCTCAAACACAGAAACACGGGAGAAACAAATCACGAGCAGATGCACTAACCGATATGCTATCGCCATTCACAGCCATTCACTTGCCAAGCATAGAGCTAGAAGCTGACGCGATGATGAGCAGCAGTGGGAGGTGCACAGACGGATCTGTCGAGCCCCAGAAATCGTCGGAAGCAGAGCCTGGAGGGCACGAGCACGGAGCATCCGAAGAATATCAGGTCTTCCTATGGGTGGACGTACAACTTGAGTTGAGTGATCTGTTTGCGTCCAAGGGAATAACAAAGTATGCCATTGAATTTTGTGTCGTCCGAGGCAATAGGAACCCGGGCTGGCGCAGTAAACACATACGCACGGGGGGTGAGCCAGATCTGCAGAATCGGGATTGTTGGTGGCAAGAATCAGCTGTTAATAATAAAAGAAAATACAGAGAAACTAATGAACGAACGACCTGACCCCGGCTTGAACGTGGATCTTCTGCAGAATATTCTTTGCTCCCCTCCCTACTCTATGCAGACACACAGACATTGTGCTACCAGGTCTTTCCTGGGTACCCGTACCTCTGGTGTTGAGATTCATGTACTGGCTTGAGAAGGACGAGACTTCTCATTACGGTGGTTTAATTTTGAGCTTTGGAGTCTCCGGATGAGAACGAACAAATTCCTGGGCGTTCAGGTAGATGCATATTCATGAGGCAAAATAGTTGACAAGCCCCAGGACAAAAATCAATCATCAAGCGACCCAGGGATGACCTGACCCCGAGTCGAACGGGGATTTTCTGCAGAAACCAGCCAACAGCACCACACTATATGCAGACACACTGACGTTGTGGTACCAGGTCATTTCTAGGTACATGTACCTCGAGTTTCAAAAGTAAATTATTGTCAATGTGCACCCGAGCCAAAGCAAAAGTGCAATGCATTTAACTTGTGAAAGCGATCACACCCATCAGTATCCGTTACAGTGGGGCGGCTCACCTGAGTCTGGAGTCTGGCGCCGCAATACAAATTTGCCAACGGACTAATCGAGATGATGAACTGGGAAAAAATAAAATAAAAGAGTATTTCAACTTTGAAATGACCTGACCCCGAGTCGAACGGGGATCTTCTGCATAAATCTATTTCCCAATTATTACTGAATGCAGACGCACTGACATTGTGCTACCAGGTCGTTCCTGGGGACCTCTACCTCGAGGTTTGAGGTATTGCGAGAGGTGCTCACTCGAGATATCCAGTAGGGCTTGAATTTTTTATTAGACAGTCCTCTTGTCACACAAGGACAGCCAAAAAAGAAAAATTGTGGTGGGTGATTGCCGCGGAGCAAACCAGCCGACAAACCAATGAGGGACGAAAAAGACACAACAGTCCTTTGAATGACCTGACCCTGAGTCGAACGGGGATCTTCTGCATAAACTTATTTCTGAATAATAACTGCATGCAGATGCACTAACCGTTGTGCGATCAGGTCTTCTTGTGGGTGTAGGGAACTTGAGCTAAGTGATCTTGCGTGGCTTGCTGCTCTCTAAGATTAAAGTCATACCGAGGTCCGAGTGCACCGTTAATTAATTAAATTTGCCTGAGAAGTCGTGCTGTTGGAGGCAGGAGGAACGGGGCCTGGCTTGCCAAGTAAGCGTACAAACAGACGGGGGGAAACCAGATCTGTAGAATGGCGGGAAAAACCAGTTGACGAGGGCCAAGAAAAAAAAAGAAAAAGGTGACACAAAACATCGGAATGACCTGACCCCGAGTCGAACGGGGATCTTCTGCAGAACAGTATGCAGCAAAACCAACAATATACAGGTGCACTAGCCGTTGTGCGATCAGGTCCTTCCTGGGCACCAGTATCTCGAGGTTTGAGTCATCGCGGGTGGCTGCGGAATAGAGTAGCAAGTACACCCTGTGTTCTTTGTTTGCCTGTAAGGATCCGAACGATATATGTACATGCCGGCGACCTAGACGCAGATGTAAAAAACTCCGATTCAATGGATTTTGGTATTGGAACGAACCAGTCGATGTCGACGAGTCCTAAAAAGAAAGGAAATGAGTCCTAAAAAAGAAAAGAAAAAAGAAAAGAAAAAAGAAAAGAAAAAAGAGACACAGGATAGCGTCAGCGACCTGACCCCGAGTCGAACGGGGATCTTCTGCATAAACGTCTTCCGGTGGAAGTACTGAATGCAGACGCACTAACCACTGTGCCATCAGGTCCTCATTGGGTGCAGGAAACTTGAGCTAAGTGATCTTGCGTGGCTTGCTGCTCTGCAAGATTAAAGTCATACCGAGGTCCGAGTGCACCGTTAATTAATTAAATTTACTTGAAAAGCTGTGTTGTTGAAGGCAGGAGGAACGACGGGGCTTGGCTTGCCACGTAAGCAAGCGTACAGACGCAAGGGGGGAAACCAGATCTGCAGAATGGCGGGAAAAACCAGCCGATGAGGGCCAAGAAAAAGAAAAGAAAAAGCTGTAAGAGAATACAGGAATGACCTGACCCCGAGTCGAACGGGGATCTTCTGCAGAACAGCATATCACTCGGCATACGATAGGCAGACGCACTAACCGCTGTGCTATCAGGCCATTATTATGCCCACTTGCCAAGCGACCAAGGAGAAACTGACGCGGTGGCGAGCAGCAGTGGGAGGGGATCCGAGTCGGGGTGCACCGGTAGATCTGCAGAGCCCGTGAATTCGTCGGAAGTCGACCCGAGAATGCAGTCACACCGGAATTAGCGAAATTTCGGTCAGCCCGATGTTAGTTTCGATAATTAATCCGAAACTCTACGAATCGGTTGTGCAGAAATGAGAGCTGAAACTTTTGGAATCGATTGAGCCGAAATCAAGTCGGAAATGGGGAAATTCGTGATACGTTTCGGACCAGCTGATACGCGACGAATCGGCTTGAGTGTCGGTTGTGCCGGAATACGCGGCGAAACGCAGCACATCAGTGCCGCCAAAACAGAAGCCGATTTTTCTGATTTCAGATGTGCCGATACGACATCTGAAACCCAGGAAATCGGCTTCCGTTCGGCATCACCGAAACAACTGGTTCTGGTTCTCATTTCGACTCAGCCGAAAGGAAAGCCGAAGGTACAAGTTTCGGCTCCACCGAAATTCATCCGCGGATCATCGTCAGATGAGCGGCAGGGGAGCGGCAGCTCATCGTTAGCTCGGTGACGATCATCGTCACTGAGGGAGGTCTCAAATCGTCAAACCGTCGCGTCTACCATATTATTGTACTCATTCAAGAAACAAATTATATTATGGACAGAGTAGAGTACCATTGAAGATAACTTGCGCCTGGATTTCCACCCTAGCGACGCGGCGGCGGCGTGCCCGTCCACTTGCCCGCGAGCGCACACTTCACCGCCTGCTCTGCACACCGCGCCGTACATCGCCTTGTTGAACCCGACGCACTGCAGCCCGAGGCACGCGACGCACAGCGCACCCGCCGCGTACAGCTGCGTCGTCTCATAAACGTTCTGCAGGGACGCGCCCCGCGATTGTGTCGCGCACCAGTGCTTGCGC